GTATTGAGGTTGTACGTCGGAGTAAAACTTACCTTACAGGCCATGCGCATTAGTTGACATTTGTAAACGTTTAGTCTCGCACCACTTTACGATAGAATCCGAATCATGCTGCCATTATTTTGGAGTCAGGGTCATTAGATATTATTTTGTACATGTCACAGTTGTCAGATTATAATTTGCTCGAGGAGGAGACAACACTAAATAGGTTGATAATATAAATTATAAAAAAAAGCAAAGGACCTGAAACGGGCCCTTAAAGAGTACGCCGGAAGAAACAGATGTGAGAGTAGAGGTGATGCCATTACATGTTACAAATGTTGGTCTGTTAAAATGCTACAGTCTTATTAAACACATTAGGGTCAATGCTAAATTTGCTTAGTTTATAAAGTAGACGATTATGCGATGCCCTGTCAAATGTTTTTTGCGAGGTCAAGAAAAATGTCTTTCTAACATCTCTGATCAAGCGCAACGCGAAAGTCGTTTGTTCTAGTGTTGAATGTTTCGCACGAAAAAAATATTTCGAAATTCACGTTAAGACGAAGAAAAGCTGAGTTAGATTCAAAAAAGGCGACAAGTTGTGTGTAGATGGTGTGTTCGAAGGTTTCCAAACAATGCTAATTAATGATATGAGCCTGCAGTTGTTACGGGAGGGCTTACCACCAGCTTTGTAAAGAGGAACACTTTTCCGATTTTCCAGTCTTACACTCTAAGAAACGCCTGCGCGTCTACTTATCCGCAAAACACTCAAAGATCCAATCACTGCTATCTACAAAATCGGCTCAGCGAATGATTGGCGGAACATCCGTTTAGACCTATAAATGAAGTGTGCTCTGTGGCATAACGCAATGCAAGCATGACGCTTTGCACTGCTTAATGCCACAGCGCAGACTTCATTTTGAGGAATAAACGGATGTTCCGCCTCATCATTCGCTGAGCTGATATCGTAGATCGACATGTGCTCTTTGAGTGTTTTGAGGATAAGTAGACGCGCAGGCGTTTTTTAGAGTGTAGGTAGGACACTTGTGTCGTGTGGCTCTTGGAATATACTCGCAACTATGATATAGAAGGGTATTGAGTTGTTGTTTTGAGTAATTCTTAATTAATTTCGTCTCTAACACTGGCCGCGGACAGTTTAAGACGACTCGTGTAACTTTTGAAACACCGTTGGTGCCAAGAACAACAACAACGTGGTTCATTAATGGACAAAATTGATAGCGTGATAAGGCGGAACGGTGTTAGTGTATGGATTTAAAAAAATACTTTATAAACCCTCGATCGAAAATTGAAGTGCACCGAAATTTTTCAATCTGATTGTTATCTGCTGTTTGAAGTAAAATAATGGATGTCTTATAGACCTCTACGAGCAGGCATACCACTCTACAATTGTCGAGGATTATTTTTGTAGCATAGAACTTAAAGAAAAAAGCGCTGACCTCACATTAAACAGCTTAAATTTCGCGTTATAATTTTTATTATTATAGCGCTCGGGAGAAGTAGCGTATTTCTGCCAGCAAACAGGACGGGCTATATCTTTGGCGGCTTTGCATAGCCCCTTCTTTTTGTGAGAAACTCTCGGGAGTGCTGTGTTGCATGGCGAGTTTGTATTCGGGCTAATCATTTTCGAGGGTGTCCTTAGAGTTGGTATATGCGAGCTAGGGGTTATTCTAAAAAAAAGCGTGAATGAACTCCTTCCGAAATTTTTATATTTTCACCCGATACTTTTGTTTCTCTTTGCTTTAGAACTTTATTAACTGCCAAAGCGTCAAACTTTCCATAATAGAAATCATCCTTAGTTTTTGTTGGCATTTCCTTCCCCCCCCCCTTTTTTTTTTTCCTGGTATTTTTGTCAATATTTGCTATTATATATATATTTTTTTTTTCTTAATTAAGCGCCGCCTAATGAAAAAGAGGCCTGCTGCAGCCACGTCATTTTCCGTCTCCGTTTTCGGGCCCTCTTTTGAAGGGCCTGGCCGTGACAAGATTTTTTTTTAGATTATGCATTTATTTATGGCTTTACCTTTACGTATACCAAAGCGCTCGCTTCGTTCCACAGGTTGGGTGTGCCTAGACTCGAGGGTATTTCAAACCGCTCGATCTGCGCTTCCAATACGTGCAGTGACGAGGTGACGAACATGGTTAATCGTCTGCGAGCACCTTCACCTCTCCGTCCGCTTCCCTCCTCGCTACGCTACGACGCAAGGCATCCCCACTTGCCACCCATTTGCCCAGGAGGAGGCATCCGTCATTACATCGCAAACGCTCTCTATGGTTTGAGTTGGTCTCTCTCTGCAATCGAGGCTCTCTACGCAAGTTCCGCGACCGGTGCCGCCACCTGGTCCCGCGAGGCCGAAACGCTCTCTTCCGTTGTCCCCTCGCTTTGCGCATTTTCATCCCCAAAACGGATCGAAATCGCCACCTCCCATTCAGCGCGCACGCGCGCGTCAAGCTGCCCGATTGGTTTCTGAGTCGGTTCCCAGGGTTGCGCGCGAGTCCTCGACGAGGCTCAATCCGTCGTCTGCTAGCGCGAGGCCCGTCGTCTGCTTCGGCTCCGCGTTTCGAATCTCGCTTGCTTCGCGAAGCACGTTCCGCGAGGATGGGACGCTATTGGGAGCGTGCGACCGTAGCGATGGAAAGCGTCGCTGTGGTCGGCGCACCACAATTGGCCGAATGCTGACTATGACGTCAGCAAAGGATGTCTCATCGACTGAAATAAGAGGAATGTAAGAACTCCAATTGTGACGGTGTTGGCAGCGTTGGATTGAGAGTGCTATGATTTCAGGCTTCCGCCTGCTCATTACAAACACCATTGAACTTGTTGTTCACACCATAATGACGTCACGAAAGGTAACCAAACGAGGGCGCCACCGAAACATCTCGCCGCTAATACTCACAAAGCCCGGCAGTTCGATGACGGAGCCGTAGAGCGCCCGGTCACAGATCTGGTAGAACAGAGCATTTATCGGGTAAGCTGGTAGTGAGCGCACAGCTTTTGCAGCGGCGAGCACGCGCGAGGAGCACGAGCGGACATTCCATCGCTCGGGAGAAGTGTGTTTCGGCGTCTCGCCGCAGCGGGGCGCCCGTTGCATGACTCTCCTCTCATCCGTTGCCTGCCGCTGTACCTTTTTCACTTTCGGCGGCCGCGTCTTGCAGCGATCTGCCAGGCTTTGTCAGTATAGAGCAGGATATGGTACGGCAGGTGGTAGCTAAAGCTCCTCGATAAAAATGCACGCTGCCTTGGCAGCCAGTTGGCAGCGTCGCCGATGACAACGTCCGCGTCACGTCGCATAGCGAAGCTCTGCCCGCTTTGGCCTCTTCTTGTAAAGCGCCCGTGGCATCTTGACTGCGCGAAGCTTTGGAACCTTCACGTTCGAAACCGTATTCGCCTCCAGCGTTGCTTTCTATGCCTTCTCACGTCATTGGGCCGGCGGGAGTTGCTCGCGCGCTAGGACAGTTTTCGAACGGCAAGGAGGGTCTCGTTGTTGACAAACCGCGTACGTAGGTGTTGTTGTTGTTGTTAGCGATATTGCTGGAAAAAGAAAATAGAGGCAATCGTGGGTGGTACGTAAGTCTCTTTTAGTGACTTTCACGCCGCTGCTTTCACTGGTGGGTGAGCTCGTCGGCTCACTTGTCTCAACAATGTTGTCCACTTCCTCCCTAATTTTGTCGAGTGACCCCGTCACCTTGCTGACCCCGTCACCTTGCTCGACGAATGTAGCCTATTTGTCTCGCGGGTACGCCGTCATTTACGCCTCTGAGAGGACGCAGTCAGGTGGTTGGGCATCGACGCCAACTCCCCAACTCCCTACACTCTCCGGATCGGAAGGCGTAATTTGCGGAAACGCGGGGTTTTGATGACGTGGTTCTGTTCGCCATGTTCGTGTTGTATAGATGGTTTGCGTGTTGTCGTTAGCACTCAACTATAACGGAAGCGAGACAACGTTATATTGTCGCGCTGTAATTGCAGGGAGACAACGTTTGAGTAAGTTCGAGGAAAAGGAGCGGGTTGATCGCGTGACTCACCGGCGCCATTGTGTCTAACGATCGCGGGTTTACGCTGCCCTCGCGTAGCTGGAGTGTTTTGCTCCGCAGTTCTACGATCTTGACACCGGGAGAAGCGAGACACACGAAAATGCGGAAACCAAAAAAAGATGACGGGGGTAAAAAAGGTTATGTAGGAAGAGAGTTGGCGGGTAAGAGTAGACCGATCACGTGATTCACCCGCGCCATGTTTGTGTCTTAGAACTGCGTTCGGCGGTTGTAGCTATTGTTGCCCAATTCGCGTATTTTTTTTTGCTCCGAAGTTTTATGATCTCGCAACTGGGCCTCAATGAGCGCGAGACAAGCACCTACTTGTTTGCGAGACGCGAAAGTGTGGAAAGAGAAAAAGGGAAGGTGGGAAGGTGGAGCGAGTGACAAAGGGAAAGTGGTTAGTTGGGCGAGTTGGTAATGATTGAACATGGTTAAAATTGCGCACAAATAAAATTTGTGCGCAATTTTAACCATGTTCAAAGGGAAAGTACCGATCCCGTGATTCATCCGCGCCATTTCTGTGTCGTACGATGGCGATTGTGGGTTGACGCTACCCTCACGTACCTCGAGTGTTTTGCTCCGAAGTTCTACGATCTTTAGGCTAGGGAGTGCGAGAGACGCGATAGAGCGAGGAGAGAAAAAGGGAAAGGTGATAAAAAAAAAGTATGGGGAGCGAGGAAGAGTATCGATCACGTGATTTCGGCGCGCCATGTTCGTGTCGTAACCGCGGCTTTGACGAGTTGGCCCTGCCCTACCCACACTTGTGCGCGTCCCGGCTTCCCGCGGATATCTCGACACCAGAGGACGAGCCGCCGAGAAAGTGGAAGGAGTGCGAGGAGGACGGAAAAGGGAAGATGCAAACATCCTCCTCCTCCGCTTCGGAGAGAAATCCCGAGTCACGCGCCTCCCTCGGAAAAAAAAAAAATGAAAAGGGAAGAAGAGAAGGCGAATTGGTACGGCGCATCGCGTATCGGGAGGCCCAACGGAGTCGACGTCGTGGTCGTCGCAGCGTCGTCGCGGCCGCAGTCTCGGTCGGCTCGGGACGTGGGCGTTCTAGGGTCCGCACCACGGGTCTGGGACGCGAGTCCGCGCTCGGCCATGCCCGGGGCCCGCGATTCAGAGCCGGGGTTCGTCGCTGCCGCCGCAAGCCCCTCGCCGCACACCGTCGTCGCCGCACCGCCGCGGCCGCCGTACAGGGCGCCATGACTCAGCGCTGCCTGCGATCTCCGAGCGTCAACTTCGCCGACTGCGAGTCGCCCCTTCCCGGGGATACCTTCGAACAGGCTGGACGCAGGTGCTACGCTCCCGGCAGGGTGAGTACGCCGACCCGGGCACTAGCCCCCCGCCGCTGCGGCGTAGTCCCGTCCTCGTCGGAGTAGCGGTCGCTAACCCCCCTCCCCGTAGCCCGCCGGTTCGGCCACCTCTAGGTCCGGCCGCAAAACTCGTCGCTTCATCTAGCCTCCTCAGTTTTGAAATCACGGTACATCTTTTGAATCTTCTAAGTAGTCCCTGCGTTTATCGGCTGAAGCGGTGTGGCTTACGTAACGTAGCATTCCGTTCCCCGTTTTCTTTTTCTTGTCGGGTTGGTTGGCCCAGATAGCGGCATCGCGTAGCGGTCAAGGTTTCTCGTGTGCGGCAGGCAAGCCTACCTTTGTTTTCCCCCCCCTTCGCTCGCCCCACTACCTGACTCCCTAGGTCGTTGATGCTGCTCTCGTTTTATCCTGGATGGAATTGGACCCGGGTAATGTGTACACATGTGCTTAGATACATTATATCGGTTTTGAGACTCGGGGAGGGAAGTGTGAAAACAAGGAATGTGCCTCGATTCTCGCGCGAATGTGTTCGCTTAATCTGTCCTTGCTGAGACCACACGGCTGTTGTCGTGCGCTACCCAAGATTGTATCAGCGCCCCATAGGCGTACACATTGGAGTACGCGTAAAACGGATGCCGGGAGGAGGGAGCTTTGCACGCGCTCGTGTGGAGCCCGGATACGATTTCATTGTCGTGCACGCTGAAAATCGTGTTCGGTGAGGACGGCGTCTTACAAAGTGTTCGTGCACGTGGTTGGGAGGGCGTCTTATATCGGCCGACCGCGCGCTGGTTCGGGTCGTACGGGGCCGGGTGGTGCCGCGACCGTCTTTGCACGCCTGGGGAGAACGCGTAGGATTTTTCTCGCGCACGATGAAAGTCGTGTTCGGTGAGGACGGTTCCTTTACGAGTTGATCGTGGTTCTGGTCGTAAGAGCGTGTTGCATCGGCTGACCGTGTGGCTGGGACCCGCCGGAAGAAGCCGGGGAGTTGTTGCTTCTGACGCTCGGACCTGGAGTCTGGGTCAGGTTGCGGCGGCGCGTGGAGCCTGGAACTAGGTCAAGCGGACGCGCCTGCGTCGGGGTGACCTTTTTTTCTTTTTTTTTTTTTCTCACGATCGGCACGGGAGTTGTGCTTTCTGCTTTGGATGGGCCTACACCGTAGCTTGCTCGACTCGTTTATTCGTCCTGAGAACACTGATGTACTTAACCGCGTTTCTCAAACACGTTTCTAGAAGAGTGTTTTTTGTTTTTTTTTATGAGAAACGAATATGAAAGGGAACTCGTGACTGTTTGTATGGAAACAGAGTGCACGTATTTATGTATGTATGTGCATGTGTGCGTGCGTACTAACGGGTTATAGGCCTGGAAGTGTGGTCTATTTATTTATTTATTTATTTTGCATGCCGCGGAACGTTTATTTGTTCGGAACGGCGTTTCTCAAACGCGTGTCTAGAACGGCGTTTTCTTTTTCTTTTTTTTTAATGAAGATTGAAGGAAGTACGACGGAGAACCCGTTACAGTTTGTACGAAACAGGAGCGAGTGGAAAGACGTTATTTTTTATGTAGGTATAGGCCTGATTGTGTAGTCGATTTTTGTTTCTTTTGTATGTCGGCCCCCGACTCATAATCCGTAGAAGAATATGGTACAATATAAATATGCATTTCACATCTCATTAGGTGCTTCAGTGAAGAGAATCAATCGTAGATATAAATTACGAAGCTTGCCCAAAGCACACGTGCAAACAGGCACGCATAGGTCACGGAGAAACTTGGCAATAATGAAGAAAATATTGTACACTAGAAGAAAGCCTTCTTTGAAGGCATGTCTCGACGTGCAACGTTTCGAAATTCTTACAGTGCATAAAAACATGCTCCTACTAGGAGATGAAAAAAGGAGTTATTTAATATGATTATAATGCGATTAAATGCGAAGGTGCAAGCGAGCTGGACAAGAAGGACGAAAATAATCCCAGGAGAAGGGGAACAACAGGGACAAACACAAATCTCTAAACACAGCTATAACCTTGAAATGCAAGCTTTCACCCTTGTTGGTGGTCGACTGGTGGCAGCTGATAAAACCCGTTTGCTCTACTGACGTCTAACCCCTGGTTAACTCAGTTGGTAGACCGCTCCACTGGAAATGGAGAGGTCCCTGGTTCGATACCCGGATCAGGCGGATTTTTTCGGTCGCGCACTAGTCACCTAGTTGTGTTTGGAGATTTGTGTTTTCCATTTGTCCCTCTTGTTCCCTTTGTCTAGGGATTATTTTCGTGATTTAATATGTTACCGTAAAAAATTCGCTTTAATGCGATTAATTGGATTACACGCCACGCGTATTCGTACCAGTCTGGGGTTGGACGCGTTCTGCGGGCAGCCTGTAAAGCGTGCTCTGTCTGCAGCGTCGGGGAGTACTGCGGGGGAGCATGCACCACAAGGGCTTCCCTGCCGTCGCTGTTTTTTTTTTTTTCTTTTTTTTTTCAATAGTTTATTGTTTGTGCTTTTTCTGTTTCTTTACTTTTGTTGAGCGGTTTTTTTTTATATCAGATGTTAGTTAGGGGGATGGGGCGTACGGCTGCATATCATCCGATTGTACTATGTATAAACGAGAGAGAGAGAGGGAGGAATCTAAGACTCGCTCGAGTTTTGTAACGTGTTTTTACTTTGTTCGTTTGCGGATATTTACGCCGATTTATGTTTATGATAGGTTTATTTTGCGGTAATTATTGTGTATTTGGAGAGCCGAGGAAATATAAAGAAATGACTGTTTTGGTCATGTGTTCGCATCAGTGCCCCGCGATGTCGTTTAATTTATACCGCGGAATTACCGAAACCCTAACACACGCGGGGCAGCACGAGTCCACGGCACCTCATTATTGCTCTGCAGCCAATCAGATTCCGGCATTAGTCGAAAAGGACGCCAACGAACCAATCACGGAGCTAGAAGAGTGAATTAACATATTAGGCCACGCCCTTCGTTTCCCTGAAAACTACGGGGCGCAAGTGGATTTACGCAAATCGTTAATTCACCGAAAGTTTTTTGTTTTTTTTTCATGTCTTGGTGAGGAAAAGAACTAAACTACCGCGCTGTTGTTTTGAATTTGGTACCAGTCCGAGTGATTGAGCGAAGTTTCAATTTGACGCGGAGCAGAATTAGTGTGGCGATGAGACCAGTGATTGCACAGTATGCGACACTGTTAACGCAAACACGACTTCGGTGGGTTTTGTTTTCTCGCACTATACTTGGAAGCGGTGTTGGTGGGCATCAGACCTTACCGCTTAAGCCGGGGTCACGCTGCTCCTCTATCACACAAGAGACAGCATTCAAACACGAGTCACCTGAATATCCATGGTTGGAATGTCGTGTGCCAAGCACGGATCTCGCAGTGTCTCGCGTTCGAATCTGTGCGCAGACTGTCCTTTGTATTATGTGTGACCCCGGATTTTGGTTAGTGCCCCCTCCCCTGCCTCCTGGCCTGATCCCGAGCACTTTTCACGACGGTAGTGGTGTCGACGACGAGCCTTTGGATTCTGTGCGAAACACAGAAAAGGCGGACGATTGCTGGTTCGTGCTAAGAGTGCCGCGCAGTGTACCTCGCGCGAATGTTTTGTTTGTTTTACTTACAAAATTGCGAGCTTGTTTCTGTTGGGAGAAAGGGGCGCGCCGATCCGCCTTGGGGCTACATCAACGACAGCTTCCGTGTTGCGTCTGCCCTACAGCGTGTCGCCCGCCTCTGCGCCTTCCCGCGGTCCTCGATCTCAACCCCGAGTAGAGGTTCGGCACCTTGACTTTAGAAAGCGTATTCATCTCCAACGTTGCTTCGTGTGCCTTCTCGCGTCATTGGACTCAAACGAGTTGCTCCCAGCTCGAGGTCAATCGTGTCCCCCGCAGTTGGGAGCGGCAACGACTGTGACACCCTTCCGGGTTTTCCGTTTAGCTGCGCCAGAACATGCCTCTAGGGTACGCTTGCGCGTTTAACGGTCCGGAAATCACTACGGGACGACATTCATCGGTACCATTAGGTGATAACCTACCTGAGAAGTAATTTCCGCTCCTCTTGTTATTAGAAAGCGCTTCGCTCGCTGGCGCGGATCAAGTAGACATACTGGCATTGAGACGTGATCGTGGCTGTTTTCGCCAGCGCCTGGTGATGGGACTTTGTTCTCAAGGTGCGAGTCTTTCGGTAAAAAAAGAAAAAAGAAGTTAGCGCCGATTGTGGCTTTGAACGTTTTGGATAGCGCTGTGCTCATTCGAGCTGACAGTGGTCAGAAACTAAAATCGGCTGCTACACGCGATGTCTACGCGAAAGGTTCCTGCTATGAGCCGCACCGTGACGCCACTGTCTCATCGCACGCTTCCGATGGCGCGGATCACTGTATTTCGATCACTGTGTCATCCGTTGTAAAGTCACTGAAAAATAGCGCCGAGGTTCCCGCGTGATCGCCATATTCGTCCACGGAATGAACGGTTTCTCCTTGGCCCCTCCATTCCTGGTGAACCGGTCTGAATTCCCGGTGACAGCTCGCTTTAGAAAGAAATATCTTTTGACAGCGAGATTCTGTTATCCACATAACGGCGAAACAAGCGCTAATCTTCGCACCTCCACCAGATGCGGCGTCACCGCTTGGCGGCCTCCGAAAAATAATTTTCCCATCTCGAGATACGCGAGAAGAGCAATAGCAGTACAAGAGATATACGGAGATAAGCCCGATTGATGAGTTCCTTGCGTACACAGCGTCAACTACGCCTATATTGTCGCGTTTTCGGTGTGATATACAGCGCGACTGGTTCAAAACGAGTCTCTCGAAGATTTCAAAGTACCAAAATGGCGACTGCCTTGGCAACAGACACCGATCAGCCAATCGCCTCGCGCGCGGCGAGGTTTCAGTCGTCTGTTTCTTAATATTTCTTTGTGTCCGGCTTGTAAGCAGAGAAGGCAATGTCGGTACTTTCCAGGATACAGTTACTTGAATCCGCAATTGTCACTAGCAGGGCGGGAACGCGG